TCTCTCTCTCTCTCTCTCTTTCTTTCTCTCTCTTAAAAAAATGAACTCCAGGGGCTGGAGTTGTGGCTCAGTGGTAGAGTGCTTGCCTAGCATATGTGAGGCACTGAGTTCAATTCTCAGCACCACATACAAATAAATAAAAGAATAAAGGTCCATCAACAACTAAAAAGTATTAAAAAAAATGAACTCCAGGAATATGCCATTTTTCCAGTTTGAAGGAAGAGAAGATGGGGTCTATTGGTGATGAGGATTTAAGGCCCACCAAAGATTGGGGGCTTCATTGAAGAAACAATTAGGAGTAGCTCTGGGGTTATGAATATAGGAATGAATTTATGGAAGTGGTGTTGGAGGCAAATTATTCTAGCCACAGCATGGTGTATTGGGTTTTAGGCAGGGAGATCTGCCAAGAGACTCTCAGTCTGCATATTTGACCTGAGGTAATGAGAGCTTGGATTAAGCATGTGGCAATAAAACTAGAAAGGAAGAAGCAGATAAATCTGAGAGATGCTACCAAGAAAGAATCAGAGAAAGAGATTCAAATTTGACTAAATACATGTCAGGTAGTAGGTGAAACCAGTAAGGGACCTTTTCCAAGGAAATGGATGTTAAAAGAACAGAGCTGAGGATTAAGAGTTAATGGGAGGAAGAAGGAAAGAGGAGCCAGCAAAGAAGACAGAGAATGATGGGTCAGAGAGATAAGAAGAGAAACTTGAGAATACAATGCCATGAGAGCCAAGGGTAGGACATGTACAGGAAGGAGTGGGTGGTTGATGGTATCAAATTCATTGTCAAGGTTAAAGAGGCAAACTGAGAAAAGACCCTTGAAATTGCCTAGGAAGTTGCAGGTGAAATAACAGAGCAGTTTTGGTAGAAAGCATTGGACTCTAGAAGGCTCCAGAGGAGGGAGAGATGAGGAAACAGAGATAGCTCATGAATACCAGCCATGTGACAGGAGTAACGTGGTAGGACTGAGAAGAACAAGATCAAACTTTATAATTCTAATCGTGCTATTTAACCACTCAGAGCTTCAGTTTCCTCTTTTGAAAACAAGAATAATCCTACTTGTACATAAGGCTGTTGAAAAGTGCAGTACAAATTTAAATGATCGTTCTTTGTTACAATGAGATATTTGCTCCATTCACTCCCCAACCCCCTACTAAATAAACCCCTAGATATTTCTGGGCATGTTTTTAATAGATAAGAGGAGTCTTTTAGCTCAATAGTGGTATACCTAGATTGGTTCTGTTTTTACTGCTTTGAAAAGTCCCTAGCTGGTGTCTGTCCTCTGACATTCATTATGCTGAGTCGCTTTAACAAATCTCCCCTGAGCCCTTCTGAAGTGAAAGCATTGAGGCACTGGTCAGGGTCATGAGGCCTGTGTAGACTATGAAGCAAGGACCCAAGACTGGATCCTTTAGTGCAAACCTCACTTTAATACACAGGAGACTGGCCCCTGAGCCAGTAGTGGGATGGAAGATGGCTTGGGCAGAGGCATCAGGAAACCTTCCTTTTGAAAATCCATGGCACCTGCAGTGTGAATGGCCCCTGGACTGAGTGGTCTTGGACAGGCAGCATGGTTTTCAAAGTGTGATAAGGGCATGTACTTTTCTTTCCTTCTAGTCTCATTTGGTGACTATATTCAACCAGACTTGAACAATACTACCTCAATTTTTTTGACCTCACTATCTATAAATCATCCCATTTCCTTTGTGAAACCCAGCCTGTTTTCAGTTTACCATAGTCTAAACTAACCTCTTTTTTTTTTGACCACATTCTTTTCCCTAAAGAAGACAACATCCTGAGAAAATATGGCTTCCCCAGAAGCCATCAGGGCCTAGACCAGCTGTCCCCTTTCCCCAAGCAGTGGAGAGATACATAGCTACTAGTCTAACTGGGAGGGAGGTGAGTGTAAATTCTAGAACTGGCACTATCCAGACCTTGAAACATCTAGAGAATATAGCCAAAGGGTGTTTTTAATGTTCTGGATTCTCTTAAAATATTTTTTTCTGTGCTGGAGATTGGATCCAAGGATGCTCTACTGCTGAGCTATACCTCAGCCCTTTTTATTTATTTATTTATTAAATTTGAAGCAGGATTCCCTTAGGTTGCCCAAACTGGCCTCAAACTTGTGATTCCCATGCCTCAGTCTCCTGAGTCCCTGGTATTACAGGCATGTGCTATGGCTCCTGGCTGTTCCTGCTCCTCTTAGTGGAAGAACTTGGTTCCATTTCTGGGAAGATGATTTACCTAAAGGAAAAAAGGGTCCCACAATGGATGGTACCCTAACATGGTGAAATGTGCAGGCCCCTCAAAAAGTGTGACAGGAGATCAGAGCAAGATACTACTTCCTAGAAGTTTGGTACATCATCCAGCAACCATTTTGGATAACCTGAGAGCCCCACTCTGCATTGGTCATTTAAGCAAGTACCTGAATACTTCATTACCAAATCTGGCTTGAGCGGCTCTCCTTGCACAGTAGTATGGGGATGGAAAAATGGTATGAGTACGAAAAAGATAGGCCAAGGACCTTAATATGGGAGCAACTGCCATGAGATACGGATAAGGGGTCACTGCTGCCATGTTACAGGAAAGCTGCCGGAAGGCATCTGAGATCTTGCTTGAGCGCACAGGGGCAGGTCTTGCCTTGGGGGGCCCAGCCGCTGTATCTGGGCCAAAGCCGGGACTGCAGGGCAGGTGGCCAGAACTTGGAAGGAATTCTCTTCCGCAGCCTTGGGTCCAGGCTTGGCCCCAGCAAGCTGCCCTGCCAGCCTCGGCTGCCTGGGGCCTCCCGCATTCCGAGCTCCTGCCCCCTCCCTCTCCGCCTCTCCTCTGGGCTCGCCCCCTCCCTTGTTCCCCTTCTCCTCCCCCACCAGCTGTCCCCTTTCCCCAAGCAGCGAGACAGCCGGAGCCTGGGAAGAGGCAGCCTCGGGCCGGAGGGGGCGTGGTGGGGACTGGGAGGAGGGGCGGGGGGTGAGGGGATAAGGAGGCCCGGCGGCCCGCGCCCCTAGCCACTGCTTGCCCGCCCCAGAGCTTGGTGCCACCGCTGTCGCCGTCGCTGCGCCCTGCCCGCTTGCTCGCTTCCCCTTGTCCAGGGGGAAAGGTCAGCAGCGTCCTGGAGCCTCCGTGTCACTCCCCGACAGCCATGAACTGCAGCGAGAGCCAACGGCTGCGAACCCTGTTGAGCCGCCTGCTGCTTGAGCTGCACCATCGGGGCAACGCCAGCGGCCTGGGCGCCGGCCCTGGCCCGAGCATGGGCATGGGGGTCGTGCCTGATCCTTTCGTGGGCCGCGAGGTGACCAGCGCCAAGGGCGACGACGCCTATCTCTACATCCTGCTCATCATGATTTTCTATGCCTGCCTGGCTGGAGGCCTCATCCTGGCCTACACCCGCTCCCGAAAGCTCGTCGAGGCCAAGGATGAACCATCTCAGGCCTGCGCCGAGCACGAATGGGCTCCGGGAGGCATCCCGGCCGCGGATGCTGAGACTGCCACCGGACCGCCCGAAGGCCGCCTCCAGCTCGCCCCAGAGGCACTGCCTGCCCTCGCCCAGGGCGCTGAGCGGGTCTAGAATCACAGCCTCAGCTCCCTCGCTTGCTCGCGTCCTCCTCATCTCTGCTTATCCCTGGGCGCGGCTCTTGTCCTCTCCTCCCCTTGCAGGGCTCACCTCACCTGAGGCCCAGATAAGAGGTCAGGAGACCTTGTCTGGAAGGCTCTGGAAGGAGAAGCATCGCCTTACTCCCTCCTGGCTAGTTTCTCCCTCCTCCCGCTGCCCTCCATACCCACCCTGCACCTCCAACTGCACTAAACTGCCTCTGCTTTCTTGTCTTCAAACAGCCCTGACACCATGCTCCAGCCCTCTGGGAACTGAATCCAACACGTCCAACACTTGGCATTGAATCGAAGCAATGAGGTCTATCAAAACTCTGGGCCGTCTAACTGGCAGCTGCTCCAGGGACTGCTCACTCTGCAGAGCCAATGGGCTTGCCATCACTGCCAGGCTGGCTGCAGCAGCTTCAGCTTCCTGTTGCCTTAGGGACAGAGACAAAGAAAATGAAGAGACCTCAGACATCTTTTCCCTCCCTCTCTCTTTCAGCAATGAGCTAGCTGGACACTAGGATCAGTCTGGGGGATAGAATTGACTTTATGGAGACTGAAGGGGGAGGGGATAAATGGGATGGGACAGATCTATGACACCAATTGTATGGTTTTCTTGCCTCTCCAGTTTTCATCCCAAAGGTAACTTGACTGAATTTTAGTAGCTTTGCCATCTGCAGCTGGGTGCATCACCCCAGTACTTCCAGATTCCTCCCCTGTAATGACTTAGTTGTTATTGCAGTGTCTGCTTCATTCATGGACCATGAGGCTTAGATGTCTCCTGTTCTGTAACCCTGGGGAATGTCAGAGGCAGGAAATAAAAGTTGTTTAAACAATAACCTAAGACTCTTCTCTCAAAGATCCCAGCCTAGAGAACCATTACTATATAGAAAGGAATCTTCTTTTGCTTTTGGAAATGACCCTTGGGTTGTTGTTATATAAACCATGTATGTGTTCAGGAACAATAGGATAGGTGTGATTGTGGGTGAAGAACAGTTTTAAGTGAGGTGTAGTAGGTACTGCCTGTTACTGAAGTTATGCAGGAGGCTGAGGCAGGAGTATTGCTTGAGCCTAGGAGTTTGACACTAGCTTGGACAACATAGTGAAAATACGTTTACAGTGTCTGTTCATATGGTTAAAGGGTTGTTGTTTTTTTTTTCAAATGTTTCCTGCTTTATTACCTCTTCCTCTTTTTTTGTCTTAATTCAGAAGCACTTTCAAATATGACAGTGCTTAATAAGGGTTTCTCACTTTCCCTCCCTTTTTCAATGGTTAAGCATGCACTTAAAAAATCCTAAGTGCATTGCTATTAGCTATTATCAGAGTTAATTTTTAGAAGCCACTTTAATAACTCTCTCAAAAGGTGGCTTATTTGAAGAAAGCCACCACATAGTATAAATCTTAAGTCAAAGGAAGATGCTTGGTCTAAGCAATGCTGGGCAAAGTTAGAGTTGTATGTTTATTTATTTATACCACTTATCTCAAGAAGGTTGTCAGAAATTTGCCTGCTTAGGGTTGAAATGCATATACCTGATGATGACTTTGGCTTTCATCAAACACATATGAAATTGTTCCCTAGCCCTGAGCCAATTTGTTTAAATACAGCTGGCTTATCGGTAATAGGAGGACAAAGATATTATGGGTCATTTAAATGCATTGATAATATACAAACCTCATTCATGGCATTGGATTTGACTTTCCAGCCCATCTGGTGTTTTACAGGAGCTATTAATAAGTTAAATGAGCTTACTTTCTTTCCCAGGATTCAATCCTTGAAGCTATACTGGCATTGCCCCATTGGCTCCTCGCCAGTCCTAGTTCCAGCCCTAAGGTCACTCCTTCTCCTTGAAGGTGGGGGCCAGAGATTGGGCAGCTGTCCAAGACAATGACAGGAAGAGAGGAGATGATGTGAGTCATCTCAGCCAGGCAGGGAGGTCTGAGGGGGATGTGGAAGGAGGGTACGATATACAGCAATGCTGAGGAGGAATGGTGGGAGCAGTTCCCAGACTGTGTTTTAGGTACAACAATGTTGTTCATTTCTCTGGTATAACTTGGACACAAGGTTATTTTGATAATAAAACATAATCACTGCTTTACGTGTTGAAACTGTAAACACATTTGTAACATTTTTCCATAGAAATTTGAAAGAATCTATTGCCAAAAATAAAAGAAACTGAGAGTAGTTGGTACAATGCCCATAAATAAGCATTAATGTGCTAACTGTGAGAAGCAAATCCCATGGTGAAACGTTCCTGCTTTTAAGAACATTTTAACCTTTTTATGATGACTTAGGGCATCCACTGAGAACATATAACCAGGGTAGCTTCGAGAATCGTCCCAGTGAGAGAAATGGACTGACCTGGGAGAGAACAATTTGCTTTACTACCCAACCACTTTCTTCAAACACTTTCATAGTTGCAACTGAATCCCAGACAATCAAGTTTCCCAGAAGTTTAGACACTCAACTTTCTACCAGCCAGTGGGGGCATCATCAGCATTGAAGTGATCATATTGTGATCAGCAAAAGATAGAAGAAAAAATTAGTGCTTGGCCAACCCTCAGTTTCAATAATGTATTCCCAAATAGCATGAGCTGTTAGCCTTTTTCTTAATGTGATTTCAAAGATGGTAAATTTTCTAGCAAATTAGAGTGATTCTTTTTCACCCCACCTAGCAGTCTGTTTCTCCCCTCTGCATATACAGATCCTGTTTCCATTCAGATTCAGATCTTTGCTCTATAATAATAATGAAGCAGAGGATCCACACTACCTTATTTAATAACTTGAGGCTTTCAACAAAAAGGGGCTAGGAGATGTTTTGGTTCCAGTGTCTGGAAGTGCTTGTCAATGGTACAAAAATAAATGGAAGCTTTTTTCCCATCACAGACATATTTCTATGTTGTCGACTTTTCTAGAGTGAAGTAAATGGGGTCTCTCATTTTTCTCTAATTAGCATCTCTTCTCCTTTTCAACTTGCCATTGCTTTTATAAACCCAAGATCTGCACAAAATTTGTGTCAACAAAGAGAAAAGGGTCTGGGCTGCTTTCCAAACAGTCTTGCCTGGAGGCTAAAGTAAATGTGTTGTGATGTCACAAAGAGAGCATAGGACCAAGACTCAGGCAACTGAGTTTGAGCTCTGGCTTAGACAATTAGAGGGTTTTGTTTCTGAGTGAGGTGCTTAACCTTGCCAGGCTTCAGTCTCCATAGTTATGGGGATTTGAGGATCAGGTGAAATCAGAAATGGGAAAGGTCTGGGAGAAGTATAGCAACTATATATAGTTGCCATACTATACACACACACACACACACACACACACACACACACACACACACACACACATACAATTCAATTTATGTGTTTTCCTTTTCCTTCACTGGGGGAGTGCCCTTGGGCAGTTCGCTGGGGAAGTGAATGGAAGAGAAAATTCTCTGCTATGTAGAGTCTACTTTTATTGCTCAAAGAAAATGATTGCCAATATTGTATATGACCACCAGCTCCCAGATTTCTCAGCCAATCTCCTCAATTCTCAGAATCTTGATTGACCAGGAAACTGTGCCTAAATGTTTTACCATCCGTTATGGTTTAGATATAAGGTGTCCACCAACAGCTCATGTGTGCGACAATGCAAGAGGGCTTAGAGGTGAATGATTGGGTTAGAAAGCCCTAACCTTATCAGTGCATTAATCCTCTGACAGTGATTAACTGAGTGGTAACTATAGGCAGTTAGGTGTGTCTGGAGGAGGTAGGGGTGTGCCTTTGGGGTACAATTTTTTTCTGTGGTGAAGGGAGTTTTCTCTCTCTCTCTCTCTCTCTCTCTCTCTCTCTCTCTCTCTCTCTCCCTCCCTCTCTCCCTGCCTCTCTCTCCTTTCTAGTATGATATCATGAGCCACTTTCCACTTATTGCTGATCCTCAAACTTGTGATCCTCCTGCCTCAGCCTCCCGAGTCACTGGGATTACAGGTGTATGCCATCATGCCTGACAACATCTTTTTAAAAGTTTCAGTTAAGTAATGTTAAGTACATTCACATTGTTGTGCCACAGTGCCCTTTTATGTCAGAGGAAAAGGAAAAGAGAAAAATTACTTTATATAGAAGTGATAGAGTTTAATCGCTACCTCAGATGACTCCCGTATGTTAAGTAGATGACTTGAAACAACATAAAGTTAAAACTCAAGGAAAGAATCTTCTATTTGTGGGTTGCCATGGACTCTGGAAAGAGAAATATCTTAAAATGTTTACAAATGTTGGGGAGGGTACTAAGGAGGAGGGGATGTACTTCCCACAACTTCTCAAGTCACATTCTGCTTTTATTGACAGATGCTCTTGAAAACCTGGGGAGGACTAGGGTGGCCATGAATGACTAAATGTCAGTCATTTGAACTTACCAAATTTCTACATACCTGACCCTTAAGATGTCCATTCATGGGCTGGGGATGTGGCTCAAGCAGTAGCGCACTCAGATTCAATCCTCAGCACCACGTGCAGACAAGGATGTTGTGTCCGCCCAAAACTGGAAAATAAATATTTAAAAATTCTCTCTAACTCTCTCTTTAAAAAAATAAAATAAAAATAAAGAACTGTGTTAAACTTTTTTTTTTTTTTTAAAAAAAAGATGTCCATTCATGGAAATACCCCAGGTCTCTGAGAAGACAGAGGGTCTCCCTTTGGTTCTTTTTAGGATCTAGATGTGATCTAGTAGGGGTTGCAGCTCCAAAAAGCCTGGCAAGAGAAATAATGGAGATAAGCAGCCTGCTCATTTTGTCTCACCTGTCATGGGGCCCCTGTTCTAGGAGCACTGTGGTCTATGTAATTTGTATTTATCTCATTTTCCTCCTTCCCATTCTAAGCTCTCCCCTGCCCCTGTCACTCCCAGTCCCAGTACTTCAAAACAGTTCCACTCTGCTGCCAGGATCTAATCATCTTATTCCTTTACATCTAATCTGAAATTCATCCCCAGCAATGATATAAGAAATGTATCTCTTTTTTCTTATTTTAATTAATTACTCCTTCACGTGAAATATTCTGTATCTCAGGAGTCTTCTTATGCCTAACTTCCACTAATTATCTTGTTTTTTTTCAACAGCACATTAAAGTAGGTATTCATTTTCTCCTTTTCCAGGTGAAGAAATAAGGTTAGAGAGATTCATTGTCTTGCTCAGGGTCACCTAGTTAGTATCTAATCACAGAAAAATATTTGACTTCAAGTCTTTGGCCTCTGAAAAATGGGCTCTTGTCACATTTTATTATTTTATATTTATATTTATTTATTTTATATTTATTATTTTATTCTGAGCCCACTGGTAAAGACTAGTTAAATCAGTAAGGTAAGATTTTACTGCTTCATCTTCTTTTTAAAACATAGTTATGTATTGACACTTGGAATCTTATTTATTTTTGTGGTACTGAGGATTGAACTCAGGGGTGTTCTACCACTGAATTACATCCCCAGCCCTTTTTATTTTTAATGTTTAGGCAGGGTCTCACTAAATTGCCCAATCTGGCCTTGAACTTGCAATCCTCCTGCCTCAGCCTTCAAAGTTGCTGGGATCACATTGATTGTCAGAAACCTAGAATCTGAGTTTTTTCCCCTGCTAGGAGAGGATGGCCAGACTCTGAACTTGGACATTGATGTATATTCATTGTTGAGGAATGTATCTTTATTTATCTATTTATTCATTTATTTATTTGTTTACTTACTTACTTAACTTACTTGCAGTGCTGGGGATTTGAGCAGAACCCAGGGCTTTGAGCATCCAAGGCAAGCACTCTACCAGCTGAGCTATACCCCCAGCCCAAGGAATGTATCTCTAATGGTAGTTTTCAGACACGTGGGTGAGAA